GATTTTAGGATGGAGTAGTAGGGGTGAGGTAGGATCTTTTTAAGCTTGTATAGTAGCCCTTCATGCCATACTTTGTCGAATGCCTGTTGGATGTCTAGGAAAACCGCTGAGCAATATTTTTTCTTTTCGAGTGTTTGGTTGATCGTATGGGTTATGCTGTGGATTTGCTCTACTGTTGAATGTTGTTTTCGGAAGCCGAATTAGTGATCTGGGAGTGTTTTCAAGTTCTCTAGGAGTGAAAGGAGTCGATTCGTGAGCATCTTCTCGAATAGTTTGGACAGGGTAGGTAAAAGACTGAGATTGGGCGATAGGAGCTGGTTTCGTATATCGGTTTACCGGGTTTAGGGATGAGGGTAATCAATAAGATTTTCCAGGCCTTAGGATAGTGTTCAAGGCGAAGGATAGCATTAAAAATCGATGTGATGAGTGCTATCCCTTTTATGGGAAGTTCCTTGATTGCTTTATTGCCTATTAGGTCGTGCCCTGCTGCTTTCTTGGGGTTTAGGCGACTGATTGTTTCTATAGTCTTTGCAGAAGTGAAGGGTTCAATAGGAGGGGACATTTGGAAGGGGGTGTGCAAGTATTCAGGAACGTCCGCGGCAGATTTGGGGGAATGGGGTTTGAATACTTAAGACAAGTATTTAGCAAACAGGTCGGTTTTTTCTATAGGGCTTCGCGCCCATCCACCTTGCGGACGGCGGATTGGTGGGATTATTTGTGGGGCGCGTGTGAGTTTCCTGGAGGCCTTCCATAGTGAGTAGTTGAAGTCGACTGTGGGGGATAAGCTGGCGAGGTATTTTTCGAAACAGTCGTTTTTATAATTTTTTATAGTTTTGGATAGCTTTCTAGTTGCGTTGTTTAGTTTGCGTTTGTCATCCGGTGTTTGTTGATAGACGTCTTTGTCGGTGTGGAGAGGCGGATGACGTTTATTATGCTCGTGTTTAAGTATTCCGTGGCTGCTTCGATTTCTTCCTTAATTTTTAGTGAGGTTACGGCTGAAGTTGAGTGAGTAAAGACTTCTCTAAAGAGCTGCCAGTTGGTGTGTTGTTTGTGGATGGAGCCATTTGGTGTATTCTCGATGATTGCTGAACTGACTGTTGCTATCACGGGCGAATGATCAGAGGAGAGATCAGCCGAGGAGTTGATCAGAGGAGAGATCAGCCGAGAAGGTCGGGTAATTTGTTGGTGTCAGTGGGCCTGTGTGTGGGTTTGTATGTTGTGAGGTAGTTGAGGTTGTTGTTTATTATGCTGTTTAAGAGGTTTTTGCCTCTTGCTGTAACCATTCTGCTGCCCCATTGGGTGTGCTTGGCGTTATAGTCTCCTCCAGCTATGAATCTATTGCCCAGGGTGTCCAGGAAGTTATCAAAATCTTCTTTGGCGATGGAGTGTCTGGGAGAGCAGTATACTGTTGAAGTGGTGATTGTACAATGACAGTCTTCTATTGCTACGTTTGTTGCTTGGAGTTAGTTTTTCTGGAATGATGGAAGTTCGTAGTGCTTAATACTTGTTTTGATTATTATTCCGGTGCCACCGTGGGCCTTTCCGCTGGGTATGGGGGTTGGGTATGGTAGAATTTGTAACCATTTATTTTCAGGTAGTTTTTGTCAATGAAGTGGGTTTCTGATACGAGCATTACGTCGATTTGCTGGTGTTTTAAGAAGAGTTCTAGTTCAAGGTTGTGTTGCGCTAGACCGTTGGTGTTCCAAGGAGCTATGCGCCTTGGTTTTATTTTGCGTCGGGGCGTATTAATTTTTCCATGATGAGTGTTAGTAGCGATAGCAAATTATTTATTTGCTCCGATTGTTTCTCTATTAGCTTTTCAAGCCTAGAGGAGTTGTCTGTGTTAGGTGGGTTGTGGACACTATTTTGGGGAAGATTCCTTTGGCTGTTCGGGTTATTTTCGATGCCTTGTACCGCTTGGGCATGGGAGGTTGAGGTGGTGAAGAATTTGGTATGACTGGGTGTTTGGCTGGTTGAGGGGGTTGGGGTAATCGTGAATTTCGGCGGGCTTGGGCTGGGTGTTTGGTTGGTTACCTCTTTGGCTGTGAGTTTAGGGTACCTGTTCGTATATAGAGTTTTATAGGCTGAGCAGCCTTTATAGTTGGCAGGATGGTCACCTTGACAGTGGATGCATTTCGCTGGGGTTTCCGGTGATTTGGCGAACTGGTCAGTGGAGTGAGTGCCTGCTCATTTAACGCAGCGGAAAGTATGGTTGCAGTATTTCTGCGTATGACCGTACCTTTGGCACCTTTTGCATTGCACTATTTCTTTTTTCACAAGCGGTGGTTCAAACTTTACTATCGCGTTCATTAGGCGACTGATGTTGTAGATTTCCTTATTGTTAGGCTTTTGTTTTATATCTATGAAAAATAAGGATAACGGGTCTTTCGAGACTCTATGCCTTATATTACTTACGTTGATGACTTCGTGGCCGAGTTTTGAGAGTTCGTATTTGAGTTCGTCTATGTCTGCTGAGTGGTGGATGTTGCGTAGGACCACTCGGAAAGGTCTTTCTTGTTTGAGTTGGTACGTGTGAAAGTTGGCGTTCAATGTCTTAAGCAGTTTGATGATTTTTCTGTATGCGTCGGGGGTTGTCGGCAGTATTTTTACTTTATTGTAGCTTATCTTAAGGCTATAATCCTCCTTGGAGATATCTCTCTGTAGGGACTTGATCATTGTCTGTATGTAGATGACGTTATTCACAAATATTGGTGGGGGAGGGGGGATTCTCTGTGATTGTTGGTTTGGCGGCGGGTCTGCGATTTCCATGGCGTCGTTAGTGGATTGCAGTACGGCGAACCTGTTGTGGGTGTTTATTTGTATCGTTGATTGTTCGTTCCGGGTGTCGATCGTGTATGGTTTTGCTGTTTCTATTTTCCGTTTCTTGGTAGTATTAGCGTCGTTGGTGCGGAGAGTTCTGCTACACTTCTGCCACGGGGGAGGTAGCGCGGGGTAGTTGGCGATTGCTGGGCCATCATCGAGCTAGTTAATTAAAAATGAATAACTAGTCGTGAGGCCATAAGGCTACTATTCGGGTTGGGGTTAGGTGCGTGGGATTTTCTTCTCCCTAAAGGGTAGGAAACACTTGGCTGTGTTCACTTTCGACGGTTGGGCGACACGTGTTGTTTTCGGACTACGCTGGGCACTAGAGACACGTCTGCACGCTTCGGCACTCCACAGCGAACTGAATTGGGTAGAATGATGGCAAATCGTTTAATTACAACTGTAGATTTTAATTACAATGTTTTTATGGATTTTCCCGAGGTTTCAGAGGGAAGGCACTTCCTCTTATCTCCGACATATATGATGTTACATCTTGTACCACAGTACTAAATCTGCGAAAAAGTACAGAATTTCAAGTGTTTTATTTTCGTGGCTCGACATCGGACATCTAGAGTACTTAAGTGATTATGTATGTTATGTTAATGACGAAAACACGTTTAAATAATCGTTCATCATGGCGGAACTTTAAATGTTTCATCGAATTGTCTTATACTTTATCGACAAGGGTATGAGATATATTGGCAGATCTTGTCTAAATCCAGTTTCACTTTCGATAATGATCTTATAATTGTGTACAATTTCTCTGAAATATACCACAGTCGAGACAACCTTCATAACGATTATTGCACCTCATCGTCAAGACCGCCTAGCACATTAAAGAAATGAAAGTATACCACCTTGAATCCATTTGGTATTGTTACAAGGTTACAAGGAATAAAAAGTACGAGTTTTCGTGAGTATCTCATTTCGTTAATTGGCCGAACAAGACGTGCAATGGACAAGTTTCGTTTGTATCTTTTGTTACAATTATGCGTGCTGACGGCGCCTCAAAAGACGATTTTAGACTCGCCAATAAATTTGCACTATTATCGGCAATTTCGTAACTGGCTTCTCCAAAGTATCGGTATGTGTTTACTTAATGTGATTATTGTGTATAGTGACCATTTCCTACGATATATAAAAAGGAATGATGTGTAATTCTCAACCAATGTATTTTTAAAACGGCGCAAAAGAAAAAATGCGTTCTTTTAGAAAAAGTGTACACAATACTTGTTATACAGATATACAATGTGCAGAAAGTTTATATCCCGTTTAGGGCCGAGTTGCACCACGGAAAACGATCGATGATACTTGATGTTACCAGAAATTTCTTAGCGCGAGAAAATTAAATGTTTCAATATTGTTTAAGGATGCAGTGGTAAAAGTGTATATTACTTATTTATTAATACTCCGTTATCGATTATGAAGATTTGATCATCATGTGTAATAAATTTATTTTTAATGCTTTAAAATACCTTTAAACACCATACTCTACAATACTATAAGTTCATTCATTATTCATTTCCATTTATTTGGCACTTATGATGTTCTTTGAAATTTTTCTCGGTGTATATTGTACATGAATCATCCAATATCAATGGCATCCAATATCGTATGCGTCGATTACTTTGTGCATAATGCCATCTAAGGGAAAACGTACGATACTAATTGTCGAAATGAAACGAGAGATACTCTGAAACTATAAAATAGGAAAGTGACGTGGAAGGTGGAAAAATATTTTTCTAACATTGAAGATACTTTCGCTCTGAAGCATTGACGGTACTAAAAAAGAGACATTTATAGGTGGTTTAAGTCACAAATAAAATGTAATTCAACGCAGTTTAATATATTAAACAACATAGTTTAATATATTGAACAACATCGCGCCATTTAGTGGGAAAAGTGTTATTGGACTCATAAGTAATTAACACACTGTTACGTTTATGGCAATATCTTACCCTTCGCTGTTTTAATCTTGGAATTAATATTATTCTTTTTACAATATCTACTAGGAAAGATGGATATTAATCCAGATATTGAAAATCACGTTATATTTATCATATAATATGGATATTAAATAAAAGAAATTTTCCAAAGAATATGATGTCCAAAGTTTCAAAATCATTAATTCCAAATGAAACGATGTACTTTTATCACTATTGTAAAAAAAGTCATGTGTAATATGTTTCCTTTTGGGTGACTCTTTCAAAAAGCAATTTATATGGAAGGTAATCCATGTACCGATCAAATTGTTCGCGACATAATCCAATTTATAAGAAACTGTATTTACAGATAGTTTCCTAGTTCTAGACGAAATTATATTAATAGCCAAATAGGAGTTCTCGTGATTTTTGCATTAATGAAAATAGATTTGATTCCATGTTCGTATAAGTGAAATCACAAAATGAACTTCATCCAGATCGTAATGACTAAATCGTATAACCTAATGAAACGTATTTTCTAGGAGCAAATAATCACGATGTGAGACCAGTCTCACAATCAGCGCGAAATGAAAGCAAACTTCAAGTACAGGTTCCATCGGACGTTCCATTTCCTTGCAACGTTACAGGTAGTTAAAATTTTATTTATTATTGTTGAAAAATTTTTATCCATTATTATGAAAAATCGAAATCATCCTTAGATATTACTTTTTCGTATTTACTTTTCTAAAATCATTGTTTAATTTCAATTACAGTTAGACGTATTTTGCCTTGGAAATTTAAATTAATTAAACCATTATCGCCATATTTTTAAGTTGTCATTACATTTAAACAAATAGATTCATTATCGTAGCTTGGTACAATTGTTAGGATTCGTTGCTATCGGTCGGTACAATTTCAGGAACTGAGTATCTTAAATCTTTATAATAACCCTTTTAGGTGGCAGGTCTTCCAATGTTCCCGAGTCGGTTCATCGTTTGAGACCAGGTGACATAGATGTTATTGCCGCGATGGGCGATTCTTTGACAGCCGGTAATGGAATTTTTGCAACTAATTTATTGGAAATGCTCGTCGAAAATAGAGGTGCGTCAGCTAGCATTGGTGGCGAAGGAACTTGGCGAACATACTTGACGCTTCCCAATATTTTTAAAGTACGTTACTTAAATTCTTTATTCAAAAATTGATCACGTACATAAATTATATAATCATTAATATATTTATTACTTTGTATGATTTATTAATCATAAAAGAGAATAGCGCTTTCATAGTCGGCTCTTTTTATAATTAGGAATTTAACCCCAAATTATTGGGCTATGCACTTGGAGATTCTCTGACTACTCAATCAGCTTCGCAGTTAAACGTCGCTGAGATCGCTGCAATATCCAGAGATATGCCATTTATGGCCAAACATCTAGTCAATAAAATGAGAAATGATCCGAGGATAGATATAAAGAGATATTGGAAGGTTCGTATTTTAGGTAAAATAATGAGATGATAACATGAAATTGATATTAGCGTTCTGTAATATATATTAACACTGAATTTCACAATTACTTCGCCTGCTTGTGATTTCTTTCAAATCCATAATATTAGCAACATTATTGCTAGTAGTGTTGTGGTAGAAACTACTATGTTTATTATATGAAAATGTGTCGAAATATTTTTATAGATATATGAAAATTATACATAGTTTTCATATATTCGTTGTGGAATAAAGAAACAGATACGTATTTCATTTAAGTTTTATTGAAATAATTTTAAAAGTTAAGGATATTTGTTTTATGTTAGGGGATTTTCGAGTTACCAGTGAAAATCAAAAGTGTTTAGAGCAAATATCAAATTGGGCAGAAAGCTTTTTCAGTTAGTTTAATTTTTTATTTCATTGTTCAAATAATAAAGTCCCTGTTTCTATGTTTTATAGTTGATCTCCTTATTCTTCGGGCACAATGATTTTTGTAGCAATATATGTGGACTTCCTTCTCCGTGGTCTGTTTTGGATAATCACAAAACTGATTTAATTAATACTCTTACGATATTAAGAGATAATTTACCCAGGACTTTTGTCACTATTCATATAATGCCTCACTTAAAGGAACTCGTTGCTACGTGTCAAGGAAGAAAGTCTTTGAAATGCTATATAACCACTACCATTGAATGTTCATGTTTGTTCGCTTTGCAATTCAGAAATCAAAGACAGGAGTATTTTAAAATAATGGAGAGGTTCGTATAATTCAGAGAATTGTCAAAGGTTTTTGGATATCTCACGCTTAAACGAGTCGCTTGCCAAGATTTTATGTTACACAATATTTATTTCATATTGCAACATTTACAATATTATTATTAGATAATTGTAATTAATTTTATTGCAAAAAGTTATTACAAAATGACACAAGTTGACTGCCATTAAACTTATTCGATGGCAAAATCTCATGTTAAAATTATCTTCAACAACTGGTTGCTTTCAGTTTTCTACTTTAATTTAAATTGGTTGATTTTGATGAACATTAAATCAATGTGCATACATATTTTTATTATTTTAGCTTTGTACTTAGGATATTAGTTAAATTTTATGAAGATAAAAGTTAAATTTATCTTAAATTTCGCAAAATTCGAACACGAAGAATTTTTCAGCGATCTACATTTCGAAATAAACTATTTGACTCGTTATTAGTGGCATGATATACAGTGAAACATATCGTGTATTTAGGAGAACCTCATCTAGTCATTAGAGGAAGGTTTTCTTAATGATAATATTCTCATTTGTAATTTGACAGTCTGTGTGCATTACTTATTTCTGAAAGTTATTTTGTTGTATTTCTCCAGTTTTTATACTTGTTGGTTGACTCAAATAACACTGCCCTATCACCTTATGGTTATTCGAACCAGTTCCTCGTTTTTGATATTTTCCCTTGCTAGACCTAAATTATACGTGAAAAACTAATTTTATCTGAACAATACACATGTGTGTGTATAACAAGTTTGATTATTCTGTACAAAGTTCAAGACCTGAGATGTTGTGAATGTCAACAGCTTAGATGACTCGAATAAATGAACGTCGATATATTTCTCTGATAGATTTTAGATATCGACATCGACCCTATGATGCATATGAAGAATATGCAGATACAATCTTGCTCAAATTTTTTAGGTGGCAAGAATTGGAAGAAGAAATCGCCAATTATCCAGAATTTCATAGAAATGACTTCACTGTTGTAATTTTACCAACACTTAAACACGCGAAGATACCGCTTGCCAAGGATGGATTCGCCGATTTATCGTATTTTTCTGTTGATTGCTTTCACCTAAGCCAAAAATCTAACGCAATATGTAAGTATAATGGAGAAGCTTGTGTAATACCATGACTTTTACATTAATAATCAAGTGAAAATTGTTTCATGTATATCAAGTGGCAAATAATCTGTGGAACAATTTGTTAGAACCAGTTGGCAACAAATCTTCTGTTTGGACCCCATTATATGAAAGATTTTTGTGTCCTACATCGGAAAGACCATTCTTGATGACACGTGAAAACTCGCACAATTTTTTCTAAATTGAAGACGCGTCTGTGATTTGATTTCGAGATTGAAATTGTGGGCATTAAAATTTAGTATAGTAGAATCAAAGTGCCCTTTTTATCCACAATCCAATTTTATTAATATATCATATACTTAATTATAACTAATAATTATTTCTTAATTTGATAAAGTATATCTGTTCAGATATCTCTGTTATTGCATATGATCTCATCCCGAACTTTATGTATTTCACATTTGTAATCGCAGCTGCCTTTTTTACTTTATATCTCACACTAATCTTTATCAGCGCTTTTATGAGACGTCTATGCTAAGTACATTCATATATGATTTCATGGTTTTAGAAAGAAATGTTACGAAATATAGGTTTGGTTGATATTTAATTGATTCACACAGATTCAATTATGGCTTTCTATATTTCACCACCATATACAACCGTCTGAATGCAACGGATACACTTAGATAATTAACACGTGGTCGACTCCTAAGACAAAAGAGCGTTGTTAGAAGTCGTACCAACTTAGCTCGTAGGAACTAGCGATCATACCAACTTAACGTTTCTCAACAAGAAAGGAGTGTAGAGTCGACGAATTTTTAATTTTCGAACGATAAATGACTGGGAATGCTTGAGAGATATTCAATGGTATTTTCAGTTATTTATTTGTCTTCCGTTTTCTATTCTGTCATCGTTGCTTGTTTGTTTCGTTCCTCTTCATTACTATCACGATAAAGTTAAAAATTAGTTACGAAATTATTATTCAGCGAAGTAAAAATTGTTCAGATTTACAGAAAAATAAATTTCCTCAGGAGTTAGCCATATTATTAATAATACATATTATTAATAATTATAAATAATACAAATCATACTATTCCATTTTGTATTGTTGAAAATAATATCGCAAATGAAAAAGTTCGTACAACTATTCTAATAGTATTTCCAAATACAACAACTATGTGTAAAATAGTTTATGCTATATAAATTTATGTTTCCAATTATTATTATTACTTCTGCTAATATTATTATTTATTATCACGTAAAGGGACGAACAAAAGTTAAAAGAAAATTCGAGTTTCTCTAATTTAATTAGTGTTCTACCATGGATTAGGCTACTTTACTTTAAAACGTCATCATCTCTTTTTCAGTTGTGGTTGGATGTATTAAGAAAAATTGTTACTAATCCTTTATAAAAACACGAAGTGAAACAACAACAGTAATTGTTCTTCCACAAATACTTCATTTAGTTTATTGCTTACTTTATTGCTTATTTCGAATAAAATTTCAAAACATTTTACTTTCTACTACTATTTTTCAGTTTTCTACCGCCAGACGAGAGTACTTCGTGTACTAGTAGAAAATAATAGGTTATCTAGAAGACAAATTATATTAATAAAATGAAAGAAGTAGTAGAGTCAAATGGCTATTCTTTAACATCTAGGAAGGACACGCGTGTAACTAGCTTACACAATCCAATCAATCTGGATTTTTCATAAAAATATTAAGAAGCCAAAATTGGCGTTTTGTTTATATATTGAGGAACACAGTAGGAGCTTCACTTTGTTCGACCATTATATTGAAATGACACAAATGCCATTATCACACACCGGTATAGTGTGTCAAACATATGACTTTAACAAGATGGAACGTTTCTACTGTAATAAAAATCGTTAAAAACGATTCCTTCGTCCTTAAGTTCTTCGTCTAATTGACGAAAGCACAAACGTATCAGAAACTAAAAATTTATATATTTTATTAAGATATGTATTTACACGAAAGCAAATACAAAAATAATTATCAGATCTGATTCAGGTTAAGAACAGTACATCAGAAAATTTATACAAGTACGTAGCTGGCATTTACGTGGATAACACAAACTAGAGAGACAGGATTTTAATTAATTAATTTTCACTTACTGCGATATAATACGGAAGGTGCTTTCTTCCCATGTATTTGCCACTGCATGCGTTTAATTGTATATCATGTGTGCGAATCTTTTCCGATAAGTGTTGAGCAGTTTCTACATATAATTTGTAACTATTTTACAAGAAAGCACGCAGAATTTTGTGACAGCAGCGCGCTAGAGGGTGCTTCAACCGTATGCAACAAGCTGGTTATCTTAGTCAGAGTTCGTCAAAAGATTTTTGGAACAGTGAAAAAGTACTATTCAGTGTGTTTGCAGATACAGCTATGAAAAAAATGTGTGCTATTGCCAATATCATATTTGATTCTCCTAGTTGTAAAATTATACGACAATTATAAAAATTATAAAATAAAATATAAAAAATTATAGAAAATTATAAAATAAAATATAAAAAATTATAGAAAATTATAAAATAAAATATAAAAAAAATATAAAAAATTATAGAAAAAAATTATAAAATAAAATATAAAAAATTATAGAAAATTATAAAATAAAATATAAAAAATTATAGAAATATAAGAAAAAGATTGTAAAATTCGAGGCAATAATTGTTTTTGCTCATAATCGTAAGCTGTCGCATCGCGTTCGTTTTCATATCATCAGTAGTCAATCAATGTTCCCAAAGTATCGATGATTCTAGTTGTGTCTCCCCGCTGGTTTTCTCAGTGTTCGATCGTCCAAAGGCTTAGCAGTAATCCTAACCTGAATTGTCAAGGCAATTGTCACGACCGGCATACTTCAAATCCGACGGACTGCCGATAGAGATAAAGATGTGGCGGCACTCGGCGGCAATGTATATCGCTAAAGTGCCTAATGAACCATCAACATCCG